CACTGTAATAAATCATAGCTGTGAGTGTCAAATAGTTATGTTTATATTATTCCTCTATATGTTGCATTAGAACCATCTGCCTGTTTTCTTACTAGTTAAGGCAAGTTTCAGATTGCTGATGAAAAATGGATCTTCTTCATCTAAAAAGTTGTTGCTTTTCCAAGGTCCACCAGAATTCTTTTATATAAGGGTTTTATTTATTTACTAGAGGCCCAGTGCATGAAAATTTATGCTCTGGAGCGGGAGATCCCTCAGCCCTGCCTCCTCCCTCTCACAGTCCGGGAGCCTTTAGGGGCAGGAGGCAACCCAGCAATCAGGGAATGGTGACACCCCATTACACCTCTGCTGCTGCCACTGTTAACAGCACAAATCTCGGCCAGCCCTGGTTACCTGAGCCTCGAGCGGCCCTAGGTGGCTAGGCTTGCCTGCTCCTCAGGCTGGCCCTGGGGAGCTGAAGGGACTGGGGGACTCCAGAGGCAGGCACTCCAGTGGGGTTGAGGGGACTGAGCGTTGCCATCTTGTGGCTGTGGGTGCAGCCACCTTTGAGAGTGGTCAATTAGCATATTCCCTCCTTATTGGCTGTGGGTGATGTCATATTTTTGTGACGGTGTGAGGGTCAATTACCATATTCCCTCTTTATTAGATAGAATTTATTTTTTCATAATGATGCTCTTTTATTCCAAACTAGAGGCATAGTGCATGAAATTCGTGCACGGGAGTTGGGGTGTCCCTCAGTCCAGCCCACACCCTCTCCAATCTGGGACCCCTCTCACAATCCAGGACTGCTGACTCCCAACTGCTCACCTTCCTACCTTCCTGATTGCTCCTACCTGCTTCTGCCTGCCATCCTGATCACCCCCTAACCACTCCCATGCCACCCTGATTGATGTCTAACTGCTCCCCTGCCCATCTGTTTGCTCCGAACTTCCCTCCTCTGCCAGCCTGGTCACCCCTAACTGCCCTCCCCTGCAGGGTTGATCACCTCCAAATGCCCTCCCTTGCATGCCTAGTGCCTCCCAACAGCCCTCCCCTTCTGGCTATCTTTGGTGGCCAGATAGGGGCAGGATCATCTTGTGTCCACATAGGGGCAGGATCTTTTACCACATGGGGCAGCCATCTTCTGTGTTGGAGTGATGGTAAATCTGCATATTACTCTTATTAGATAGGATTGAGGCCTGGTGTATAGGTGGGGGCCAGCTGGTTTGCCCTGAAGGGTGTCCCTTATGAGGATGAGGGTAGCCCTGAGCTCCCTGGGGCATGGGATGGCCTCAGCTACGGGCCTGTGGTGGTTTGCAGGCCAGCCACGCCCTCTGGCAATCTAAATGAAGGCCCTTGTATCTAGAATTTATTTACCTTCTACAACTGAAACTTTGTAGCCCGGAGTGGAGCTTTGCCTTTTGCATTCTCCATGGAGGCAGCCATTTCTATTGGGATTTATGTATCTTCTATAATTAAAACTCTGTAGCTTTAAGTGGAGGCCTGGGCCAGCCAGGATGTGCTGAAAGCTTTGCTTCCTCCATTGCCAGGAGCAACCCTAGCCTCCTGCTTTTTCAAGCTCCGTGGCTGCTGCCATTTCTCTTTGTATTTGTTTATCTTCTATAACTGAAACTTTGTAACCTTGAATAGAGGGTTAGGCCAGAAAGGGCTGGTGGAAAGCTTGGCTTCCTCCATTGCCTGGGAAACCCAAGCCTCCCTCCTGCTCTCTGTGGCTGTAGCCATCTTGGTTGGGTTTATTTGCATACTTGCTCTGATTGGCGAGTGGGCTTGTGGGTGTAGCGCAGTGATTGTTAATTTGCATATCACTCTTTTCTTAGGTAGGATTACCCAGCCATTGGTGTAAGACCCAAACCCAAGAAAAGCTTTCACCATTGCTTGTATTTTCAAAGTTATTCTAACATCCTATTTCCTCTGCCCTGGGAGGCAGCCAAGCAAGTATTAACAACCGGTATGGATGCTGACACAGTTATTGATGGTGATGCAATGTGACAAACTTTTCCTGCTGTGTATATTTTATAACTTGGTATTTTTCTTGTAAGCCAGTATATTTACCTGCTTTGCCCTGACATTGTTTCTCAGACTTTTGATATTTTAATTGCAATAATGACAGTTACTCTTTTATTCTTTTACTGAGCTCTTTAATCAGTTTAGGTTTCTCCTTGGGTTTTTTTCCTATCCTTTTGTTTCTATCTTCTGCAACCCTATAGCACATTCCTGGGCCTAGAGATACTGCACTGTGCTCTGAGGTAGGTAAAATCGGTTCGGTGTTTGGAATGACCTTTTGTGACTAATTTTACTGCTCTATAAATCATCAGAGAACTTTATAATACTAAGAAAGGCTTGGTTTTACTTGTTTCACATTTTGTTTTAGATTAAGTTTTAGAAGGAAATCCTAACAGAGAACTTTGGTCAGTTTACTATGCCACTGGTACTCAATGAAGTTTGATTTGTATTTGCCAGAATTTTATTCCACATATGATTGTGGGTAACATTGCAAAACACTACTTAGGTAATGTAGATGAGATTTTTATGCCTTCATTTTGTTTTGGTTTTTAAAAATCTTAATAGGAATTATCTGCAGTTCTTTACTTCTATGAAAAGTTGGTTTGGGATAAAGTTCTTTCACTGAAATTGTGTAACTAGAAGTAGAACCCAGCATTATATACTTTGAGAAAGATAGTTTGTTGATACTGTTTTTCAGAAAGTTATATTGTCAGGAAGAGGGAGAATTCAAGGGGAAGGGACTGGACACCTGAAGAAAGATTTATTTATGTGTCTCCTGGTTTTCCTCCTTCACAACTATAATTGTTGGAAATAAATTTAGGTTTAATATGCCAGTAAAACATTTTGTGGAATTCAGGTGATACCTTTTCGTGAGAGATTAATTTATTTTAGCAACTCAGAATAGGAATCAACAGGACTTTCTCAGTAAGCTATCAAAGAGGAGGACATATGTCCTTGTATTGAAGGGGGGAGGGATGTTCATTCCCCAGTTTAGTCTGAAGTTGATATTAGAGGCCTGTCGTGGTTGTTAATAGTTGAAAAAAAATCAAAAGTATAATATTTTATGACACATGAAAATTGCAAGACCCTAATTTTAGTGTCCATAAGTAGGTTTTTTTGGATGTGTGTATATTTGTTTAATACCACTTCAATCACATGTTGTTTGTAGCTGCTTTGGTGCTACAGTGGCAGAGTTGAGTAGCTGTCAGACCACATGGTCCATGCGGTCCTTTACATAATGTTAACTAACTCCTGATCTAATATTTCCCCTGATACTGCCTTTTTCAGTGTCTAAAAACCAAGCTGGCCACTGAGCATATAGAAAACACAGCACATGCACTCACTGCAGCTGCTAAATTGGTCCCTGTTGTACCTCTTTTAGGTTTCCCCAAAGAGGCAGAACTGATGTGTGGGTGGGGGAGGTTGGATGGGAAAAGAAGGTTCCAGGAGTACATTCCAAAGACACTTAACCTGCTTCATCAGCCCCCTCCTCTTTAGCTTTAAGGAAATGGAAGAAAGGGAAATGAGGTCCTCTGGATTACTGTACTTATGTTTTTGGGATGGAAATTGATTTAGAAAAAAAATTAGTATTAAACATAGTTTTGTCTTTAATCAGTTTAGGGTTAGGGCTAGGGTTAGGGACAGTCTTAGGACAGTCTCTTTACCCCTTTTATTTAAAACTTTTAAATTTTTTCTACCACGAAACTGATTTACATGGAACTTTCCAGAAGTATGTTTTTTCTAAAGTTGAAATACTTTTGCCTTTATACATAGTTCTTCACAAGCAAAGGAGCGGGCGGTGGGAGGGGTGAGGGTGGAGAGGATCATTTTCAAAGCTCTCCATGCTACATTATGAATTGTGTGGACTTACATATGCAAATCTGTTATTATCAGCTCTGTTAGGCATGTGATCTGCCATCTGCTAAAAAAGGCCTTTCTTTACCTTTAAAACTTTTTGACCAGAAGCAACAGTGTGATTAATTTTAGGCTTTTCTATAGTTAAGGACTCTAATTCTCTAAATCCAGGTAAATATATTTGAGGAATGTGGGGAGCAGGTTTGAGAGTAGGGGTATGATGGGATGGGTTATTCTCCCATTCTCCAAAAGTGATTAGTTGTATTCAATTAGTCTCTGTTGTTTTGGAACTAAATACACTAATATGTCATCTGACCTATACTTTGTGAGAAAGTTATTGATTTTCATGATTAAATAAATAGCTGTATGACTGTAGCCCTTTACTTACAAGGTATGGAGTACATGCTGCCATTGGGGAAGTAGGCCCAAGGTTTTTAGTTAATTGGAGAGGTAACGAGATTTTAAATATTTTTCTAATAACATGGAGGACATTATGTCTAGTATATTTTGTTCATATGAGTTATAGAAGATTTCTGATTTACATTTAGAATGCTGAAGTAGTAGAATATGTAACAGTAATGTTTTATGGAAAAGTATAAATTCATAAATTTGATATGGTATATATTGATCATCAGTTTAAAGATTAACAGCATCTCCCTTTAAAGATGATAGCGTAAAATTAGTTAAAACCCAGATTTGAAGGTAAATAACCAGTCTAGACTCTTTTATTACCAATAAAGCATTATGTTTTCTGTTAACCTTTTTAATTTTCACTGAGTGCTTCTTAAGCATACTTGGAGACCCAATAATGTTTCCTCTATGCACCAGTTCCACTCCTCAAAAGTTCTTAGCCTTTCATAGGTTTGTGCATTTACCACAGCCAATTTATTGCTTTTGAGTACCTGCTCTTAGTAACCTAAGGATGACCAGGCAAAAGGCTATGAATGACTATTATTATATTTTGTTTGACCTAATTTCAAGGAAATTGCAAAAATTTCATATGTTCTGTTACTTTTCTGTTTTAGATGATTTGATTTAGGAAAGAGAAGATCATTTTCACTGTTGTATGTAGTTTTATTATTTTTTATGTTATTAAGCTTGTATTTTTTAGATGTTATGTTTATACTTTTTTCTTTTATAAACAGGTAGAAAGCATTGTTGACAAAAGGAAAAACAAAAAAGGGAAGACAGAATATTTGGTTCGGTGGAAAGGCTACGACAGTGAAGATGACACTTGGGAACCAGAACAGCATCTTGTGAACTGTGAGGAGTACATTCATGATTTTAACAGACGCCACACTGAAAAGCAGAAAGAAAGCACATTAACCAGAACAAATAGGACCTCTCCAAACAATGCCCGGAAACAGATTTCCAGGTCCACCAACAGCAATTTTTCTAAGACCTCTCCTAAGTCACTAGTGATTGGCAAAGACCCTGAGTCCAAAAACAGTCAATTATTTGCTGCCAGCCAGAAGTTCAGGAAAAACACAACTCCATCTCTCTCAAATCGAAAGAATATGGACCTAGCAAAATCAGGTATAAAGATACTTGTGCCTAAGAGTCCCATTAAGAGCAGGACCACAGTGGATGGCTTTCAGAGTGAGAGCCCTGAGAAACTGGACCCCGTTGAGCAGGGTCAGGGGGATACGGTGACACCGGAAGTGGCAGCTGAAAAGCCAGTCGGAGCTTTATTGGGCCCTGGTGCAGAGCGAGCTAGAATGGGGAGCAGGCCCCGAATACACCCACTGGTGCCTCAGGTGTCTGGCTCCGTGACAGCAGCCATGGCCACGGGATTGGCAGTTAATGGAAAAGGTAAGTGTCTAGGTGAGCAGCTCGGCGGTTGTCGTCCCTGTCAATGCCATGGACTATTAACTCAGCATGTGTGATGATTTTTCAAAGTGGTGTTGAGTACCCCTTTCTTCTGTGTCTGTCCTACTCTAGATGGCAAGGACTCTGCAGAGTTTGTAACAGATGTCTGATTAACCGTTGAGAGATATTGCCAGTTTCTCCTTTCTTGGAGCCTTTGGCACTTCTTTCATAACCAGAACTAGCGAGTCTATTTAATTTGGCACCCACAAATTTCCATCACATTGACTCGCATTAAACATCATCTCACTCTAAACGTTGGTATTTTTTTTAACAGGAAGTTTTATTCTGAAGCCACCAACATTTATACATCTTAGACACTGAGTCTCATGTTAAGAATCTTAAGTATAACCAGTGTTGATTAGAAATCATGATCCTTATTTTGCTAACCCATTTAAATAATCAGAAATGCCTTTCTATGAGGGTTTACCTAGTACCCCTGCTCCTGAATTCTGCAGCCTCATTGGTTATACCATAACTTTCCCATCTCCTAAAATAGCAGCTTCCTTCCCTCCACTTTCCCATGCCTAGCTAGCTACCAGTTTGTACAGATTCTATTAAGTATTTCTCTGATAGTAAGTTCCACTTGTCCTCCCTCACTTTAGGTCTTGATGATTTCTTACCTGCCATAAATTTCCAATTGCTCGCCTGTATCCTGCCTTTTGAGAGTTTCCCATGCATTCTTGAACAGGAAGGAGGATCCCAGTTGCCAGTCTGATGTTAACACCATTGCCTTAGTTAGCAGATGTGCTCTGCTGGGCTCTCACCTACCGTTCTCATTCTCTCTCTCTCCAAGTCAGTACTCCTGCCATTGCCTTTTCCTTACTTGTGTGTTTCCCTCAAGTAATGCTAAGTAGATAATGTACAACAAAATAAAATGATCCCATTTTGCTTAGGGGAGCTGTTTTTCTCTAAAGAAAGTTCATCTAATATATTATACTACTCTACCCATTTTACGGTGGCTCCGACAAATTTTGGCTTAGGCCCTGTGTAACAGTGAAGGGATATGTTGAAATATGGGGTTTCCCTTTGGACAGTAAGTTGCCATCTTGCTAGTGATTTTCAGAACACACTTTTCCCAAATGCAGCAAGCACCTCTTCCCCATTCCAAAAGTTTCGCCTTTACTTGAGTAAAGGAACTGTGTGAGCTCATTTAGAGTTGACTTCGTATTGTTGATCTGTTTGTGAGTACAGTTTTCTCTTTGTTGTAAATAAAGGATCATAGGAGTTCAGAGGTAGAAGATAATTTATAAAGCAGCCAATAGTATGCTTTATTCTACAGATAGGGAAGTCAAGTTTAGAGAGAGTGTGATGTTCAGACAGAATTAAAAGCAGATACGGAATCAGAGCATTTCTCAATTTTTACTACCCAGTTTTTCTCAACATTGCAAGGAAGTCTCCACAGGACAAAGGAACATCTACCTCTTGATAGATTATTTAGGATCAGGCCCTGTGCTGGGCTTCTGTAACTACAAACAAGGGCTGGGTCCCTACAGTGACCTTCTGGGACAGGGGTTGACAAACTACAGCAAGCTAAGAATGTTTTTTATGTTTTATAATGTTTGAAAAAAATAAAAGGAATTATATTTTATGACGGGTGAAAATATAAGAAATTCAAATTTGTGTTTTATAAATAAAGTTCTTTTGGAACACAGCCATAGTCATTTGTTCACTTATGGTCTGTGGCTGCTTTCCAGCCACAGGGATAGAGTTGAATCATTATGAAAGAGACCTTACAGCTTCAGAACTGAAAAATTTATCTGACTCTTTACAGAAAAGGTTTCCTAACCTCTGCTCTAGTAAGCCACAGTTCCCCCTTGATTATCTACAAAAGTTGTATGTACCTACTTTTGGTGGCAGGTGTCATGATTTTCTGAACTTTTATATATATTTTTTATTGTCTTTTTGTGTGTGTGTGTGTGTGTGGTTTTTTTTTTGTTTGTTTTTGTTTTTACAGAGGAAAAAAAGAGGGATAGAGAGTTAGAAACATCGATGAAAGAGAAACATCGATCAGCTGCCTCCTGTACACTCCTTACTGGGGATGTGCCTGCAACCAAGGTACATGCCTTTGACCGGAATCGATCCTGGGACCTTTCAGTCTTCAGGCCCACACTCTTGTTTACTGAACCAAACCGATTAGAGCTTTCCAAACTTTTGACCCCTAATTTTTTCACATTCTTCTTTTACCACACTTACCCAGGGTTAACTGCCCTTAGCAAAAACCTTCAGTTTTGAGTATAATAAGTATGCTGGCCTCTATTTAAATAAGGAGCTGCTGACTTCTATGTTTATTACTCTTCCCATTAAAAATAAATAAATAAATGTCCTTAAGGATGGCTATGGTTAGAACCACAGGGATGTGAAAGCATAAAATATTACATTATTTTTATCTTGTTCTATGGAGTTAGGTATTTGGAATTGGAATAACAATTTCCAAGGCCCTTGTGGTTCCCCTTCTCTCCTGGCCCTGTGTCCTATGTACTCTCTACTTACAAGAGAGGAAGCATGGAAGCCACTCAGGAATGTTTCTAGGGCAGTAGTAAATGGCATCCCTGATGGCCATCATCTAAATCAGGTTTGCAGACCAAGAGAGAAAAGAACCAGCACCTACACCCTCAGGAGCCTGCAGTTGGAGTCCTTCCTGAAAGAAATGTGATGCCAAAAATAAGTGGTGTCTTGCTTAGACAACTTGGCACCTACCAAAGGCCTTTGCTTCCTCTTACTTTCCCCCTTTCAGGAAGTTGGTTTTATTGTTCCCTCAATTGGAGTATAAGGTCCACTAAGGAATTTTATTTTGCCAGGACTAAATCTTACTGTCTGGAGTAGTGCAGCACATAGTAGGTGCTCTGCAAATGCTTGTGGGGGAGGGAATGATTACATTGCTCACTAAAGACAAGATGCTTTCTAACGACAAGGATGGTAATGAGTCTTTGTAGCCTTGTTACTGTTCACACTAAAATGGGAAGGAAAAACGCTATTAAATGACAAAGTATGTGGGCCAGAAGCATGGGAACATTCCAGAAAAGCTCTTACTGGCTCTAAGGGTGCATCTTTCCTGGATGACAGGCAGCACTGAAACTATGTTAGCTTCATTTTTTAATTTTTAAAGGAGTTGTTTGGTTTTACTTTCCATACTAATTGTAGAGCTACATAAGAAAACTAATGAGTATTTTAAAACAATTAAAACAGCTGAAGCCAGTTTGGCTTGGTGGGTAGAACGTCAGCCTGCAGACTGAGGGGTCCAGGGTTGGGTTCGGTTCTGGACAGGGGCATGTGCCTTGGTTGTGGGCATGTCCCCAGTGGGGTGGGTGTGCGGGAGGCGGTTGGTTGATGTTTCTCTCTCATCCATGTTTCTAACTTTCTGTCTCTCTCCCTTCCCCTCTGTAAAAAATCAGTAAGATATATTAAAAACAAAAACAAATTAAAACAAATACTCATGACATCATTGGGAAATGAACCATCTTTTTAAAAATATTAATTGAGTGTGAAGGGTATTTTGCCACCAAATACAACAGATATTAAAACATCTATTAGCCAAAAGAGTAAATGTTTCTGGAGAATTTTAACACACATTACTTTTACAGAATAACCATATGTGTGTATCCTTAGTTTTTAACTTTTAAATATTAAACAAAGATTTAAGGATGCATATATTGCTTAACTCAGAAATATGAGAATTGTTAAAATTTAAGTGATACATCTTGAATCGCCTAACAATTTAATCCTACAAAAGAAATAATTCTTTTATATTTTTTATTAAAAATCTTCAAACAAATCCTCTTTAATATATTTGTGATAGGTTGAGATAAACAATTGATACTTCATTAATGACAACTATATTAATGTAGTCCTTTAGTTTTCCCTATTCTTAAGTAATAATAGAAATGAGAGCTCTCTCCATAAAACAACTTCTGTATTTATGTACTATCTATATAAATAAAAGCCTAAAGCAACCGAGCTACCAGTTGATCTGTCACTATGACGCACATTGACCACCAGGGAGAAGACAATGCAGGAGCTGCCCCCTGGTGGTCAGTGCGCTCCCACCTGGAGCTCCACTCAGCTGATGGACAGGTGCCAGATGCCGAGCTCACACCTGGCCAACACAGCCCAGAGACCACAGCGTAGCAGTAGTGAGCCTACCGAGCAGTGGCAGCGGCGGGTGCAGCAGGGCCAGGATGAGCAAGAGTGGCAGGCACCAATTTCAGCCCGATCCCTGGAGGCTGTGCCGAGGAACCTCTAGTATAGTAACAATTCCCAATTAATGTCATGTGTTAGCTTTGGGGTGCGTAGTCCTCTCAAACAGTATATAATCATCTCATACCACACTTGTGCCCCAGATGTTGCTCACTATGAGACTGAACTCATATTTGTCTTTTCACTTCCTGTTTTTGAGTCTTAGTTGGCTGTTCTTCCAAGCCAGTCACATTTTAAATCACAAATGAAGAAAGGCTATTTAAAAACTCAGATTATCAGGAACCTCTTGAAAGAAGACACTAAGGAGTCAAATTCTCTAAGGTGGCTTGGACACTTGAACTGGAAGGAAGAGAGCTTATTCCCTCAGAGAGTAAATCCTGGTAGAAAAGATGCAGAGAAATATCTAGAACAGATGGAGAAACACAATACTTCACATGGTAAAATGGGAAAGCACTGTGGCAAACATTTCAATCTTCTCCTTTAGAATCTTCTATATTGCCTAGTCCAATTGTTTATATGTAATTGGTATTTAATTAACATTTGTGTGGGAATGAAGGAATTGCTGGAGGAATTTCTGTTATTCTACTTTTATTATTGCTATTTTCTAAAAACTGTGAGAAGAGAGAAGATTTTGGGGGTAATTGGGAGAACTTGCCAAGAAAACAAGAGCTAGGGCAAATTTTGAGCTTGCATGCAAATATGGAATGACATATGATTCTTCTAGCTGGAAAAATTGAAGAAAACATCTG